TGTGCTAGGAACAATTAAAAAATGTAAAAAAATACCCCAAAATTGATCTTTCCTCTTAACAATAACAAACATTTAGACGATAAAATTTTGTTTTCAAGTTTGGCATCTTTTTCATCATGCTATGCTTTCTTTTTTTAGTGATCTCGTGGAGGTACCTACCTTATGCCCTACAGAAACTGGACGTGACACTAGGTCAGTTTAACAGGCTTACACATAAAAATTGCCCAGTCCCTGTAACTATCTATCTCTCTAATAAATATATATATGTATGCTGCTGCAAGGGTGGAATTCCCAGGGCTAGGCTTCTCATTATAAAACCAGCAAACTGCCAGGAGGCAGAAAAGAGAAATATTTACTGGTTATCCATACGATTAAAGCATGTTGGTTGGAAGGGGAGGGGGCATTCATGATAAACTCAAACCAACATCAAATTAACATTTCTGATAGAGAATGTTGTAGTTTGAAAATTTATCACCAGAAGCCATCATTTGATAAGTAGAGGAAAACCCATCTTTAGCCCTTCACAGATTTTGAAAGCAAAAAAAGTAATTGAAAATATTCAAAACACCATTTCCTAGACTAAATTATCTTTTTTTAATATAGGTTTCATTTAATTTTTATAAGTGCTTTGAAACTTTTGTAGCTATTTGCAATTAATGTTGTATGAGACAAGTATTATCAACCATTATGGATCTTATATTGGTAGGAATATTGTTTAAGGCATGGTCTAATTGCACTTTGGTCAGATGAATGCTAACTTAATCTATAAGAGTGTGTCATGGTGATATGACCAACAATTATTTTGTTTGGAAAGGTTATTAGATGAGAACTTGTATATTAAATTAGTTTTGTATATTTTTTAATCTCGTGTTAGTGATGACAAGACGTCATGATTTTAATTCTTAATAATAGATGTTAAGTCAAACAGATATATTTCCAGGTACGATATTCTTAATTGCTATCTCATATTTATAACTCGGGTTTATGTAGCCACAATAAGTTTATTGTAATTACTGTTTTTGTTGGTTGGGTCATTTTGTTGATTAAACTTTTCCTGTAGTTGCCTGGCCATAAAGACCATGTTCACTATATGTTGGTCAGGTTTGAACTTACACAGATTCAAGACATAACATATTCTGTTAAGCAAACTAAGATAAATGTTATGATTTTCCCAACTGCACACAAATGTAATTCCTTTGTAGCAATCACAATCTGCCAATCTATAAGCCCTTACCTTTGGTAAACTTGCATTCTTCCAATTTTTTTCTTTCAAGTATCAAACATAACCCGACAAACAACAGAAATGAGGTGTTCATTCTCAACAACAAAAATTTCAGCTGGAAAAATTTTCTTTGGTGGTTTATGCCATTTTTATCTTTTGATTTCTCTTTGTAGCTCTCCACTAGTTGAGAAGTTCAATGTCAGGTCCCTGCTCAAAAAAAATCAACATATGCTTCTTTGTTCAATTTTGCTCAGAGAATTGCGCTCTCGCCTAAAGATTTATGGTATAGCTCACTTCCAGTTTTTGATTTCACACAAGCTACGAGTGATGTCTTCAATCTGAACACTCGTTTGAGATTATCCAATTAGTGTTATGGTTGTGAGCAGCTACTTGAATATCCCTTGCCAAATTATTCATTCACTGGGCCCTGACATTATGTACTGCTTTTTTTGACTTCCCTCAGATTTTCTTTTGAGACAAACAGGAGCTTTGTCATTTAGACAGGTTTATTAGCTGTTTTAGATCATTTTCATTATATATATATATATATATATATAACACAAGCATTAAGGCTGATTTCTATAAAAATGTCAAGAAATATATATTTTAAGATATTTTTTATGTTTATACATTCTTTTTATAGATACAAATATTTAAATAAATATTCTGTTTATAATAACCAGTAGTAATAGCATTTACTGGCCTGAATGTCCGAGAAATTTTCATAGAAAATCTTTGTCCTCCGACAGGAATCGAACCAGTATCCTATACGGAATCGTCGGTGCCTTAACCGATTGAGCCACAGAGGATCGTTCGGTTAGCAAGGTCGATTTTACTGCTCTTAAAATACAATCTTCCATGAATCTCTTGCGTACATTCAAAGCGTATCCAAATGTAAACAAATGACATCACACATTATGAAATGGCCAAAGTTTGACAATTATTTTAAGACATGTTTATATATTCTTTTTATAGATACAAATATTTAAGTAAATGCTCTGTTTATAATAAACAGTATTAATAACATCTATGAAAATTTCTGACATTCAGGCAGATAAATGTTGTTTAATATTGTTTATTATAAACAGAGCATTTACTTAAATATTTGTATCTATAAAAAGAATGTATAAACATAAAAATGTCTTAAAATAATTGTCGGATTTTGTCCATTTCATAAATATATATATTTCTTGACATTTTTATAGAAATCAACTTTAATGTCTGTGTTTTTCTCTAACAAATAAAATAGATGCTCTTTCTATTCACCTACTCACCACATTCTGTGGATGCAAAATACTATTGGCCCACAAATTCTATTACTATTTAAAAAGAATGGGAACTCCACAGTACTTCATATTTAAGGCAAGAGGAAAACTTGCTAATTTAAATTAATCCAACCAGCTGCTTGCACCATCAGCTGGCTGCACATTAAACAAATATGTCCTTAATATTGTGACTATAAACAGCAATATGATCAATTAAATGAAAATAAAAATATACACAAGATGTTCTGAAAATTTCTTGTTTTGAGCCACTACCTCAAAAATCAGTATTTTCATATGTAGTCATTAAAATTCTGGGTTGAGGAAGTGGGTTGGGGCAAGATCTTGTCAGTAGTCATGTGTGTAAAATTAAAAAGATAGGCCATTGGTTGATTTCAATAAAACTTGTTCAAACAAGTTCTTGCCACCCAAGTAATTCAGATACACAAGTAAAGATTGAATTTAATATTTTTATAGATGTGGTTTTCTAAAATCCATTTGCATATACAATATTTATTTTCTGTGTGTGCCATGGACATATAAAAGCACAAAGTGAAAATATCTGTTAATTACACAAGCACATTATTCACAAGGAGTTAAAAGAAATCTCAGGCTGTATAAGGCATGAATTCAAACTCATTGTATCAAATAAGAATAAATGATTCTTTTGCTGAAAATTGTACAAAGAGCAGAGTATGACTTGAAAATGTAACTTGGATAAAGCAAGGATTAATTAGAGTACTTTATTCAACTGATCTTAAAAAAAAAAAAAAAAAAAAAAAAAAAAAAAAAAAGAGGTCAGCCTCATTCTACAAGATGCACCACCACCACTTTGTAGAATTGGTTTAAGTTTCATTTCATGTTGCATTTATCAACTGAGGTTCCATTACTAGGAATTCCCATAGAAGGAAAACTCATTTCAAATCAGATTTTTTTTTTTAAAGCAGACAACCCAGTAATTCTGAAATTCATACTGGCTGCTCAAAATAAAAACATTGGATTTTGACAGATAAATCTGTTTTAGTGCCCATAACAATGTCATTTTACTTGATTTGACAAGCCTAATTTTCTTAAAAGAAAGTGGTAGATAATATTTTAGGACAAATACTTTTCTATTTCTTTTCAGTTTTGACAAGTTGTTTCTAACTTCAGAATTTGCTTTGAAGAATGTTAAAAATAATTACTTTACTGTCATTTAGGAGACACAGCAGTGAAATCAACAAGTCATCATGAATTTTGCAGACAAGAAATCAAAATTTTGCAGTGTCTCTGCTTAAAATTAGTGATTATTTTGGTTTGACAATTAAAATAAAAGTTATGAGAAAAAAAAAAAAAAAATGAAAATAAAAAGACAGTTATTACAAAAGAAAACTGTTTTCAATTTAAAATGCTTTACTCAAAAACTTACATCTTGTAAAATAATTTTAAAATTTGCACACAAAAGTTGTTACTACAGAGGAAAATAACCTAAAATGTCTAAATTCAAACAATGAGCAAATATTAATTTGGGTTTTGTGAATGTTCTTAATGACAGAACTTCAATTGGTAAATATTGACAATTCATCAGTTGATAATGAGGAGCAGGAATACGTTAAATAAACCATCAGCCAAACATTTTTGAAATTGATCTTCATGCTGCTGCTGCAGAATAGATTGTCCAGAGAAAGTTGATTGGATAAGGGAACCAATTTTTTCAAGCATATAAGTACTGTAGATTTTATTACAGTTTACAATCAACCATTGATTTTCTCACACAGCAACATTTATACGGGTCATACAGTATTAGATGCAATTTCATTTTGTCTTGTAAAAGAATAATGATAATCTTAGCAAAGAAAACAGTTCTTTTGCTGCCTGCCTCCAAAGTTCTAAATGAGGCAAAAAAAAATTTATTCCCGATCATGAGAGTGAGGAAGGTGTTGATGAGTGCTGTGAAATTTCTGATATTTAACTTTTAAAACTTTTTTTTGAGGGACGAGATATATATAATCCACATTTAGTTGAGGATAAGGAGTTTTGAATATTTCCATTTGGCAAAGATCAAACAATATGTGATCAAAAACTTTTGGTGGAGAACTAAGTTTTAATGCAAAACTCAAGTCAACTAATGTCTAAAAATAAATTAAAAAAATAAAAGGACTTGAAGCAGGTCTGATTCTCAATTGATAATTATTCACGAAATGTACATAATTTGGTGAGGAAATACATTTCAATTAAGTGAATAGTTTTCTAAACATTCTTAGACAACTTCTGAAAAGGCAAATCCACTGAAAAATATTTTACATTATTTCCCAGTGGCTTTAAACACAAAGTTCTTTTGAGATATGGTAGGAAAAAAAAAAGAAAAAAGAAAAACAAAAGAATCAGATGACATGAATTTAGATGACAGCATATTTCTCAAAAAAAAAAAAAAAAAAAAAAAATGAAAGTGATAATGAATTTCCTTCTGATCTATTTTAATTTTTTTTTTTTGTTTTGTTTGTTTGCATCTTAGCCCCACCGTCCCCAAGAAGTGTTCAGTATCTCCGATTTCCTCCATGTTCCATATTTTTGTAAGCATCAAAACGAGGCTCCTGCATTCTGGAACCCAAATTGTTTCCACCACCACCACCAGCCATCATGCCTGGTGGTTGGGCAATTGTGTTAAACATATTGCCCGGTCCTAAATTCTGTGCACCACCGCTGTTTGAAGAGCCGCTGCCACCACCAAAACCTCTGCTGCCACTAACACCATTTCCTCGTTCATAATTGGGATTCATATTGTTGCCCATCCACTGGTGATGACCAGTGTCCATTCCACCATGAGAATGAGACCAATTGTCAACTTTCCAATTGGAGCCACCAACTGAAACAACAACAACAAACAAAAAAAAAAAAAAAAAAAAAAGGATCGTCATCTTTTAATATGAAGCAAAAAGTTTCAAAAGAAACTTGATTTTTTTCCTTTTAAATATTACATGAAAATAAATAAAAAAACAGAAAAAGCAAATTATGTGCCCACAAAGACCAAAATTCTCAAGAGAGGAGACTGAAATATTTCCCATAATGAAATGTTAAATTTATTTCTTATAAATTTATTAGCAAGTGAAACAAACGGCTTTGTGGTGTCATCACATTCTCCCATAGAAATTTATCGAAAAGCTTTTCCTCATCCTTTCTACAAGAATCCAGAATGGAGGAGTCAGAATCACCCTCCCCACCACCACCACCCCGCCTGCAATGTATTCAATCTCACAGAAATTTTTGTAAAAAGATGATCAATGCTTTTGATTATAGTCACTCAATGGTTAGCAAGATATTCAGTTTTCTCTGCACAGCGAGCACATGTCGATGATATTCACTTTCCATGCAGATGCATAAAGAATGTTTTCTGGATTTATTTTATATTCTAAGTTAAGGCAACAGAATACTAGAGAACAGTTCTGTACATTTTGCTGTCAACTGATTTAGAAAGCAAAGTCAGAAGTACTTGCTCATCACACATTTGAATACAGACTTCTATAAACTATGTAAATTATGCTAAAAATTTATTTACACATTTTAATGTAGAGAATGAACATCTTAATTCAAAATTAACAGTAGAAAGAAAAAGTAAATCAGAAACATGAAAAGTTTAAGTTTTAAGGAAATTTCTTTCTGCAGAAGGTAGGTGTGTGAGAGAGAGAGAGAGAGAGAGATCAGATTTTACAACATGCAAATATATTTAAACAAAAATTGGAAAAAAAAAATGTTTATAGAAAAAAAAGCTCAATCAGAATCTGCCTTTCACCTTGTCAATAATATAACAGGTTTGGTTAAATTCAATTGAACAAGTGTGTTTAAATGCTTTATTTTCCTAGTTTTCAAATAAGCTGTTTTGCATCAAATTTTGTCCATCTCCTTCATTATCAAGAACTGAATGTTGCATGGTATACAACATATGGCTAAAGCTTGGCAATTTTTTTTTTTTTGTGGAGTGTGTGTGTGTGTGTGTGTGTGTGTTAAAATTCAATTTATATATATATCATGTAAGTGACAATGTTTAAAACAATTTTACAGTTTAACTGCAATGAAAGGAATGCATAAAGCATTTTATGTGTATGTTACATATTTTATACACACACTTTAAAATGACATCTGTGGTGAAAGATTTTATTTATTGCAGGTTTTTTTTTCTATAACTTATTTAACTGTAACCAGTCACTTCCTAATTATTAACAAGATGAAAGGTCATTAAAAATATCATTCACTAGTACATATCACTTAAGGCCTCAAAATAATTCCATAATTATTATACAAAAGAAACAAACCACATTAAATAAAATATCAGATGATATTTTCAGGTGTGTGTGTGTGTGTGTGTGTGTGTGTGTGTGTGATGATGATGATAATGATGTTTTTATGCATATTATTTATTTTGCATATTTGATAAATTCTTTTCTGGTTCAGTCAAGCTCTGTGAAACAGTTTTACACAAGACATTACCTTATATGAGGCACATGTTTGAATTTAAATTGTAGAGCTTAAAAAGCCAACCTGTAGCCAACAAAATTTTGTTTACTGTATGGAAGATATTCAGCTCTCAATAATGACCGAGACAGTGGAAAGCGCTTGAATAAAAACAGAATAAAAAAAACACAAACTTTGGACAGTTCATCCACAATTTTAATTGGTTGCACTACAGATTAATTTGAAAATTGGGAAAATACAATAAGAAATTTAAGAGACAAACTGTCATTTGAATTTAACAACACTTGCTTAAATGAATCCTATATATATATATATATATATATATATATATATATATATAGAGGCACACATTGAAGGCTTCTTCAATTTGGTCTTAATTGAAGTTGTTCTTGTTTGTAAATGAGTGATCAATCTTAATGATTGGAATATAGAAATCTTTTGCTAGGTAGAGTGAAATGTAAATCAAGTGATTCAACTTTAGGGGGGGAAAAAAAAAAAAAGGAAATGTGAGAGTAGGTGATCTTAATGCAACAAGATAACATCCCTTCTAGTCACACAAACTGGGTAAATGCCCTATTTCAAGCTGGTCTACATATTTAACCATTTTAATTAAAGGTATGATGTATGAAACCTCTCAAATGCTCCCTGAAACATTCCATGCATAATAGTGTGGTTTTCAAATGATGTCCACATCCAGAACTTATGACAAGATTCAATACAATGTAAAACTGACTCACTTTCATACTGGTGAACAGCATTCATACATTCAAGAGTTTTCACTTTAAATGGAATCCACTTATTTAGTTTTTGTTCTGGATAATCACACTTAATATGAAATATTTCCAATCAGTATATTAAAGTTTGCTGAGAACTCTCAGACTCCTTTTCAACCCCAGATTCCAATTCTTTATCAACCGAAATCTCTACTTGTAAATTTTTGAAAGCAAAATCTTATTGCTCATTTCCTAACAATATTTCGCCCCAAACTGATATTCCTTGCAGCTTCAGCCCTGACAGTATTAATGTTAACAGTCTGTTGGAAACACTGCATTAATATCCTTTTGATCTGGTAACCCCTATGAAACTGTGAATGAGGATCTCTGCTAAAATTCCTTACTGGAAAACGTTGTTTGCCTAATTTTTAACAACTGAATAATCAATAATATTATTTAAAAATAAAACTAGAACATCAGTTGAAAATATGTGGCCATTTAAAAAAAGAAAGGTCAAACATTTAACTCGTGAATTTTTTATTGAATCATCTAACATATTCCCAAGCCTCAAATACATGTTAGTCGCTATGAATTATTTTTTGGTTCAGACAAATTTGAATAGATAAACATTTGTCTAATAAGAACAACCCTCAGAAGATTCTGCAGCAACTAGAGATTTTTTAACTGTGACAATTGTGGTTCTAGCACATTGTAATATTATAGAAGTTTAAGAAAATTACCTTAATAGATATTAGAATCACAAGAGCAAAAAAGAACTGCTACCAGTTAACAAGTTCAAATTTGTATGTATGTAGAGGAGGAGGTAGTGAATAAAAAAAAGAAAGAAAGAAAGTCAAAATGAACTGTGAAAAGACTAAAAATATGAGGAAGATGGGTTCTGATGTATTTTCTTTGCTATGGTAAAAAGGAGAAAAAAAAAGAAAAAAAAACTCCACTCTTCTTGAAAACCTTTTACTTCTTCCATTCAAGTATGTGTGATGTTTCAATGATAGTTATATGAATTGCCTTTAAAAGTCAAAGCAGCCGTACCCAGTTGATTCCTGAGTCTTCCTAGTCTTTCATGTGCAGATACATTCCTTCGGTCCATTTCTCTCTCTCTGTCTGCTGCTAAGTTCCTGTGATCCGTGTCATGCCCATGGTAGCCAACAGAACCGAGGTCTCTCCTAAATTGAAGACATTTCAATCAAATCAACATGCTGATAAATTGAAGAAAATCAAATCCAAAGTTTCATTTTCAGACACAATGCCAACCCCCATTCAATGTTTAAATGTGTCGATGCGTACATATATTGACAGTTTAGGATAAAAAATAACAAGACAACAATCTACAAGAAACAATAGCCAATTCCAGTTTTGTCGATTGGATAATACATGATGTTGACAATTATCCAGTTTGCATTTTTCTTCTTTCAGTCTTTTTAAGGACATAGAAGGTAAACAATTAGATCAACTGATAATGAAAATTCAAAAACTTGTAGAGAGAATTCAGTTGCATCACAGTGAGAACTAAACAAAAAATACATTAAGAATTTTATATTTGCTAAAATAACTAATAAATTTTCAGCATTGTTGATATGTTATTATAGAAATGTATTCTGAAATAATTAACAAATGAAAAGTAATAATAATAATCATAATTCTTGTTAAATGATGAAAAAAATTAATAATAATAAAAAAAGGTAGTAGTAGATAATACAGTGTGTGTGTGTGTGTTAACATGCACCTAGTAGCAGGTGAAAGCAGAAATTTAATTTAAATACTATTATACAAGGTGCGGCAGAAAAACTTCCCACATTAATGGCAATGGTGTCTTCATCTAGCTAATATCTTACTATTACGTGAGTGGTATTTCTGCCACACCCCATATTACTAGTAAAGGGTAAGGGAATTTGCACCAACATTAATCTTTCAACGAAATGCAAACACAAAAAAAAAAACAAATTTACCGTTCAAACCTATTATCAGCCGAAACATGATCAGCCAGCCTAGAACTATTTTCTGGTGGGCCATATCTCTCATGACCTGCTCTTTGTGGGCTGTGGTTAATTCGACCATGGTTAGAATCAGAAAAACGACCAACTGATTCCATGGGCTTGCCATCTCTATTGTAATAGGAATCTCCTCTTCGATCATAATTATCTTCATGCTCACCAAACCTAAAAAGAAAAGAAAAAAAAAAGAAAAGAAAACAGTTTGCATGAAGCAAAAATGAAGCTGAAATGTTCTCATGTCAATCAAGGTTTATCTTATGAAGCTGTTGATCAGTAAATTCAGGAAAAACAGTTTAGAATTTTCTAATGATTTGTGTGTTCCAATATTGATGGATGTTGGTC